TTTTTTTTTTTTGGGTACACCGTCCGATCTGTACATCTCACAGCGGAACTGTGACCACGTTCAGAAATACTTGAAAGGAAGACTACATAAGGGCAAGATACCACTACCGGTAGCCCCGAAGATTGGACTGAGCGCCGAAATCTGGATGCGTTTTTTGTCGAGATTCAGAAAAGCAGAGCGGTCGTAATGATCGGCCGGCACGTCTCCACAAACTCGTCCAGATTCAGATTTTCCATGCAATCTCTCTGCTAGTTGGATCTCGCCCTAACCCCCCGATAGTGGGCCTTAGGGCCTCATCCCACCCGACTTACGGTAAGTAAAATATCCATTTTCGGCGTATCCCACCTTGTTCCTTGAACACCGGGGGCTCCGATGTGAACGGAGGGATGTGAAAACGATTTAGGACATGGCGTTCGTGGAGTGAACATGGGGAGGTCCGTTTTGCCGTTTGCGGAAAAGGAACGGGCCTGTACCCTGTTCCCAAAAGGATGGGGTGTTTTTATGTTTTTTTTTTCTTATCTTTTTTGCCCGTTACCTGGCCAGGTTCGTCCAACAAAGGCCGCCGCCACCCACGTAATATCTCCTGCAATAACGGGACGATGGAGTACAATTTTTTTTTTCACGGTCCGAATGTTGCGGCCCCTCCTTTTTCGTTTCTTTTTACTTCTACTTGCCGTAAGTAGGGTGGGATGAGGCCCTAAGCTGGATGGCTGACAGAACGGAACGTCTTTTTTTTTTTTTCCAGGGAATTTGTCCATTTATTACAATATCAAAAGTGTTGAGGCCGGGGACCTCACAATTCAACCCGGAGTGTAACCTGATCTGGAAACGGGGTCCAGAGTCCCACAGTAACCTCACTGCAAGCTATCCAAAAGGAATTTTACTTTGTCTTACTCTATACTACTTGCAGTAACCTGGTTGAATAATCCTGGAAAATTTAAACTTGAAGCTCATTAAATGAGAGAACCTGTCTTATCCAATAGTTCAACTCAAGACCGAGGTTCTCCTTTACCATAGCATTTCGGGGGCCTAAAGCGGTCCTTCCCTAATTACACAGCCAAGGGGCTATGAGAAGCTGTCCTTCGAGGCTGATTTTGGCCAAGGCATTCTTCGTTGTCCATGTCTTCCCAAACCAATATCTGCCCCTACCCGATCTCTGTCGGGAGCGTCTCCAATCCGCCTGAATGGTCAGGCGTAAAGTTGACTGTACCATTGATATTTGTTGGTGGATCAACATCTTCTCGCTCCTAAACACTTGCTCATTTCGGGCCTTCCATATTGTTTCCATTAGAATACCTCTGCAGACTAGTGCTGCGTATCCCCAACCATCTTGGATCTTTGCTGAGCCTGGTGGACATGCAAAAGGAATCCAATTATCCGTCCAGTCCCAGTCTTCTCCCACTGTTTTCTCCCAATTTGACTTCCACCACATCCATAGTTCATCTGCCAAAGGGCAGAAGATCCATAAGTGCTTTGTCGATTCCTATCCCCAACTACACAACTCCATTCCTCTTGATTGGAGCCATAATGCCGAGGTTGTTACCAACATCGACTGCGTCCACATCAAACTTGTCTGTCGCTGAGAAGGTAGCTTCTTTAACATTCTCCATAGATTGTGGAAGTCCGGGGCTGGAACAGCTTCACTCTAGTTCTTGTGGAACCGGTGTCTGGCCACGTCCGCTGGTCGTGTCTTCGTCATTCTACGTACTGCCACTCCCACCCTGGTTTCATACTTGTAGAGCGGTACCTTTCTGTGCGCATTCAGAGTCCAGTGTAGCAGAGTAGGTCCACCCTGTAGGTCCCAGCTGAACCTGGCAGCAGTTCCCCTACTCGAATACCTCTGGACTCTTTCTCCCACACTCTGACTTCCGTCAGATCCACTGTTGTTTGTATCACTTCCTCCTTCTCGAAGGTAACTTCTCTTCCCTTTCCCATTTCCCTCCCCACTCTCCACTTTTCCACCTTAACTCCCTGATCGAGTTTCGGGCCTAGTACTCGCACGACTAATTGCGACCTAGGCTCCGTTGGGTCCACCAGCCAAGTCCCTTGACTGTGTTCTACGTCATTTTTCAACATACTCTCCCAGTGACACGGGAGGCCTTGAGGATGGCTGTGTAGTTGGCTTCCACTGCATGCAGCCTGGGCAATTTCTTCCGAAAATCTTCCTGTGAGAGCCAAGACTGATGGCTCTCATCCCAGATATGCTTGACTTGCAAAATTCCCTTTTCTATCCAAGATCGGGCAAAGTTGCCCGCTTTTTCTGCCGAGCTAAATGAAGTTCTTGCTTTTGTCTTAATCAGCTCGTTGTCGAAAAGCATTTGGCTTGCCACCTCCAGTTTAGACGTAGGTTTCTTCAGAACCTCTGACCTGATCTTTCTCCATGCTCTGAGTATCCCTGTCCAGATCCTCGATTTCACTCTTCGTCTCAGCATATCCGCTTGGAGTAAGCATATCCACACATGTTCGTTTTCTTCAAGAGACCAGTCTCTCATGAAGATGTATTCTGCAAATTTAACCCACTGCTTGTTCCCTGTGTTTTCCATCAAAGCTTTTATGAGCCATCTTCCCAACAGAGCTATGTTCTGGTCCCTAGGATCCAAAACTCTCAAACCTCCATCAGCCCTTGGCTGAGCAATAGTGTCCCAGGCCACCTTCGCCATAAACCCTTGGTCTTCGTTTGCTGTCGGTTTCCACAGGTACCTAGCCGCCACTCTTTTAATAGCTGAGTATGCACCATCTCCCAGCCAATGAATGACTAGGGGGAAGCACAAAGTGAGAAGGCGGCAAAGGAAAGAACCATTGCTCTCCCAAACAAGAAGAGTTCATGGTTTCTCATCCATCCCATGACTCTAGCGACGATTTTCCCTTGAAGAATTTTATCTTGATCTGCTGAGCAGCCGGAGAGGGCAGCTTGAATTCCCAAAAAACATTCTGAAGTGCCAACGGGGGTCTGTTTGAGGCCCCATTGAACCGCTAGTGAGTGTGGGGGGGGTAAAAAATATGTAGACTTATCCCAGTTAATCGTTGCCTCGGATAGATAGCAATATTCATCTAATACTATCCTAAGTTCAGAAAGAGAGGATTGTGAGTTTTTGCAGGCGACTGTTAGATCGTCTGCAATTGCCCCCCCTTTCCAATGAATGAAAGGGGGGAGCATCAACCCCGTTATGCTTGGGTTGTTCCTGGTATTGTCAAGAAACACTTCTAACTGTAAGACAAGAAGCAGCGGTGCCAAAAGACACCCCTGACGTAGGGACCTAGACAACTTAAATTCCTCCGACAAGTGGTCGTTCACTATAACCAATGAGGAGGCTTGGGAGTACATTGCTTTTACATAAGTGAGAAAATGCGGTTCAAAGCCTAATCTTGACAGAGTGGTCAGGGCAAAGGTCCAACCTACCTTGTCATAGGCCTTCTCCATGTCTAGGAGGAGTATTGCAACCTTCCGCTTCTCATTGGAGATTACTTCTAGAGCTTGTAGGGTTGTCATTATGTTTTCAAAAATTGAACGTCCCTTTACAAACGCACCCTGTTCTAGACCTACTATAGTTGGGAGCAGTTCCGCCAAACGGGTGGCTTGGGCTTTTACCATAATTTTATAACCCACGTTTAGTAGTGAAATTGGTCTGTAATTTTTCACTTCCACCTTATCCCCTTTTTTATAAAGAAGTGAAATCACCCCCTTCAAGAAGCCTTTGGGGATAATGCCCGTTGTCCTTGTACTATTATATATGTCGCATAAAAAGGGTCTGAAAGATTCCCAACAAACCACATAAAGCTCTACCGGTAAGTCGTCCAGACCAGGGCACTTCCCCAAGGTCATCGGATTGACAGCCCGGGTAAGTTCCTCCACTGTGAAAGGCTCATCCAGAGATTGTGCGGCTGCTGGGGTTAATCTGGTCGAGGTTTTGTTCCAAAAGGCGTTGTTCTGAGAGAGGTCTGTGTCCAAGGTGTCGAAAGGTCTCCTAGTAGAGACAATGCCACTGAAGTAATCGAAAGCGTAGGAATACATAGATTCCCCATCTGGTGCAGCCTGTGAATCGGTGGCGAAAGGATGTCTGAGTTCCCTGATCAGAGGTTTGGACTGTCTTAGGATTAGAGATCTAAAGGATAGTTTGGTCATTTGGTCGTAACCGATTATACCCCTTATTTTTAACCAGTCCAACCACTCTAACTGTTTCTGGACTTCCATCTGTTCGAGCTGCAGTATGGCCTCTTTCCTTTTCTCAGTCCAGTAATAGTCTGAGAAGGGATCTCTCCCCATCAAACTCTCTGCCTACTCTACTGTCCGTTTTAGTTGGGTCTCTTTCCATTTCCGATTGACGGCTTTCATTCGCGAGAAATTCATTAGGGTCACCCCTATTATGTTAATGCCCACCTCCGCCCAATCGGATATAGCGTCGAAGAGATCTATGGCTCTCGACCAATGAGACATCTGATTATTTATCCACTCTTTTATCCCTTCGCCCTTTAGTAAATTTACGTTTAGGCGGAAAGGGGGCCGAACCCTTTCTATAGTTTCCAACGAGACCACATCCATCAGAATTGGATCAGACATCGAGTCAAACTGTGTTTCACACCAGCAGCATCTGTCTCAGGGGGATCCCCTCGCCAGAATGAGATCCAAACGACTACGAGGTGTCGGGGTATTATTAGAAGGTTTAGGGTCATACCAAGTGAAGCCGTTTGAATCGGGGTTTAGAGTACAATAGACATCTGTAATGGTGTGTGCTTCTAAGAGAGTCAGTAGCAACTTTGTATCTGCTCTTACCGGGAAGATTGAGAGGGAATCCAGGCCTGGTTTCCTTATCGTGTTCCAGTCACCTAGCAGGATCATATTTTTTGTATCTGGCAGGAAAGCTGGGAGATTGGCAAGAAAATCTATTCGTTCAGGCAGTTTCGCCGGGGCATATATCGAAGCGATTGCCCATTCCTCTTCTCCAAGTTATATCTTAATCCATGCTATTCGACCTTTTGAGTCTGTATAGGAGACGATAATTTCAGTGTCAAGATTTTTGTTGATTAATAGTGCCACTCCTCCACTGGATCCTTCTGCTGGGGACCAGACCTGCGGTCCATCCCAGAAACAGTTTAGGTTCCTTATTTTTTCCGCATTCAATTTAGTTTCCTGAATCCCTATTATATGTGCGTTGTCAGGGCCTTCCTTCCCTCTCCGTCCTCTCTGTCTTCTTCCTCTTCCACTTCATCCTCTTCTTCTTCCTCTTCCGAGTCTTCTTCTTCTTCTTCTTCTTCTTCTTTCCCTTTCTTATCCTCTTCTCCCTCCCCATTCCCCTTCTTCTTTCCCTTCTTTCTCACTAACAAGGTCTCCTCCTCTGATTCTTCCTCTTCCTCAGTCTCCTCCTCGTCCTCCTCTTCTTCCTCTTCCTCAGTCTCCTCCTCGTCCTCCTCTTCTTCCTCTTCTTCTTCTTCGTCCTCCTCTTCACTCGTCATCTCCAAATCCCTGTCAGGCTTTCTTGGAGGGTATTCTTTCTTGTCCGCTTTTACTTCCTTATATTCGTCCACATCCCCCATCTCCACATCACTCAAGTCTATTTGCTCTTCTTCCGTAGTGGGGAGACGGGTTGCCTTCGGATCGTTCCGCTCGTTCTGAGGTTTGACAGGTCTTTTCCAAACCACTATTTCTCTGCCACGCGTCTGTCCTTCGAGTTCTCAGGGGCAGGGTGTTTTGGCTTTTCCTTGTTTTGCTTACTGCGCTTGCCAATCTGTTTCTCTTTAGGGTGCTGGTTAACCCCATCTTCTTTCCGCTCGCCCTGGGCCTTCTCGAGGTCTTTTTCTGGCCCCTTTTCTGGCCCCTTTTTTGAGGGTTCTGAATTTCTCTTGTTTGGGTCGTTATTTAACCCTTTTCCCCCTTTTCCCCCTTTTTCCCCTGGAGCCCCTTTTTGACCCCATGAGGGGCCTCTTTGGTGCTTAGAGGGGCAATCCGGGTCTTTGGAGGAGTGGAAATAACGGCGGCAGACCTCACACCACGGGGTATTGGCACATCCTCAATTTCCGCGTAGCCCTCTTTCTGGTAGTCAACCACGAGACATGGTTTGTACCTCATCCTGGCCGAAGACATGAGGTCGAAGCGGATATTCAATAAATCTGGTTTGTCTGGCTCGCTGAAGGATGAGAAAGTTTTCAAGATCGTACCGAATGCATCTTCCACAGCAGCTTCCAGCTGGGGCATGGCCGAAATTGGTACTTGCAAACATCGAATCCAAAAAAAAGCAATACATCATGGCCTCTCTCCATGAATGGAGTTGATTATCATCCATCCATGGCCGGAAAGACACCAAATACGTCTTTTTATCTAGGACCACTTTGTCTTGCTTTTTTCGGAGCATGAATGCAGCAATCTGACTCGAGGATGAGACATATGTAACTAGATTTCGGCATTCATTGTGAAATAGTCCTCTCTTGGGAGGAGCGTTTATCGAGCGATTAATTGCCCATCCATCTTCGTAAGTTCGAACGATCCTCTTTTTCACATCAACGGGTAGTGAGGTGGCTTCGTCTCCGAAAATAATTGTGACTGCATGCTCCTTAAGCCACTCAGCTTGTATACTGTAGACCTCAGGGTTGATGATTACACGAACATAGTCGTTCCCTACTTCCACGGTATTCGTAGATAAGCGCTTCGGTAGAATACCATCCGTATAGCAAGCACCTAAGAGGCCCTTGATGCGTTGTTTCTCCGCATCGGAGATCTGATTGGTTGGAGGGGGAGGAGTAGGAGGAGGATGTGGGGGAGGAGGGATCGAGGAGGAGGGAAAGCCCGGGTCCGGGTCCCCCATCACGACCGCACCACCTCTGACTCTTCTACCCTATAGACAGGATTGAACTTGAAATTACATATAAGACTACAGAGGTGTAGATTACAGAAGTCTATGAATAGGTTGAAGACAAAGACAAAAGGGAAACATAGATTATTCTATCATTAGTCTTCTATCCCAGGCAATAAACTATTGGGATAAGTTTCATAAATTATACCTCCATGGCTTCCTCCAAGAGAGGCAAGGAAGATGAGTTTTACCTTCGAAAGTCCGCGTCCATTTTCCTCAACCTTTGAACCACCATGATGGCGTGAAAATTTCGGATAGGAGGGTAGATTCCCATTTAGACTGAGTTCCTTCGCTCCAAGTACACAAGTTTGCGTTACCTGGTGGCCGCCCCTCGTCAAACGTCAATCTCGTCAAGGCCGAACGCCTTCCTTGGGGCTCCCCTTGTCCACGCCTTCGTCAACACCTTCGCCTCTACAGGGGGAGGAGGAGGAGGGGGTCGGAATCTCCCACTTCCTGATATTCCACAGGAAGAAACGCAGTAACTTCTACCACGCGGGAGATGGCAGATTCCTTGAGAATTACGAAGATGACAGTCTACCTCACGTACCGGTCCTCGGCTTTGCCGATTGCCGACAACTCCAGAGCGCCAGTCATTTCTGACGGCGGTGCGTTGTTAGCGCGGCGCAGACCGGAGCGCTACCGAGCGCCCCCGGGT